AATTTTACGGGATGGGGTTGTTAGCCTCATACATAGCCAACCGTCCCTCATTGCGAGTCTTATTACTGGCTTAGCGAGGTGTGGGAGCGCATCTAGTGACCTAGCGTGGAACCCGGGATCACATGAGGTGTGGTTGGTGAACATTCTACCGCTGTGCCACTGACATAGGTTATCAGAATGGTGAAGTTCTAATTATTATTATTATTATTATTACTACTGTTCCCTTGTTTTCCGAGTGAAACATACGGCTTCAACAACATATCTCTATTTTGTTTCGTTTTTTCCTGTCCTCTTCAGTTGGCTGGGCCCATGATTCCCCATAATCAGTCATCTCCCCCTCCTCAATACATAATCGCCTCTATGTCACTCTGGCACTCACGACACACTCGTCACTCGTTTCCCGTTCACTTTCCATTTGAGCGATGCCCTGTACTGACCGCGATGTCATTCGCCGGTCTCCCCGGTGGCGTGTGCCAAATTCACCTGCATTTTCTCCTACATAATTGTTGAACAATAGGTTCTTGGTCGGTTTATTCATTACCACAGTTTCTTTTTGCTAATTCTTTCTCGCCAGCCATTTGATCTTCAGTAGAGAGTCAGGCAAGGGGGCAGCTGTTGATAAAAGTTTGCACTGGCCGGTTAAAAATGCTTTCAGTATCTTACGCGTTGACCAAGTTTCTGAACTACATATAGTTTACTAGCTGGCTATTTTCCTGGCAGATCCCAAACATGGGAAAAAAGGGAGGGTTGGGAGTTGGGCCAGTGATCTTACCCCTAGAAAATGTATCAAACTACTACAGAAACTCCAACGCAAATGAAAAATATTAAAAAGTACAAAATATACGAAAAACGAACTTATTTCTCTTTGGAATCGGAGAGGTGAAATGACTCTGCAGGTTGGTAAAAGTCATTCGCAAAGTCATTCAGCCAGCCGATTTTTATCCTCTTGATGAAATCAGTAAAAAGAGTGGGGACTTGGAATGTACGTAGAATGTACGAAGCTGATTGGAAGGCTGTATAAGTGGCTAAAGAAACGGGACGATATGGTATAGAATTGTTCAGAATCTGCAAAAGCGGATACAATGAATGTGGACTGTCGAAACTGTCAACTGATGACTCAGTAATCTACTCCGGTCTGGTCACCAGGAGCACAACCCTGACCACACTGAGGCAGTCAGTTGCTATCATGATATCACCGGCCGCAGTCAAAGCTCTAATACAGTGGGAATCAATCTCCTTCTGCAGGATTATGACAGCAGGATTCAACTCAAAAGGGAGAAAGGAAGTTCACAATTATCCAATACTATGCACACTGCTACGAACAACTCAAAACCAGAGAAGGAGGAAGATTTTTATAGACAACGACAAACACTAATGGACAAATTCCTGAATAGTGACATTAAAATTCTTATGGGCGATGTGAATGTCAGCTGAACTGGGAGCAGACAATACAGGAAGAGAACTTATCATGGATCGAGAGGTTGTCGCTCGGTGAAATGAATGAGAACGGAAAATTATTCGCAGAATTCTGAGAATTTAATGATTTAGTGATCAGAGGCAGGGTGTAGAAACACAAGGATATACACAAGGCAACATGAAGTTATAACTGAAACTTATAAATAAATTTAAAAGCTTATATTCTCTTCATATTAACTGTGATCAAGATTTGACCGGACCAGATTGCTGAACGAAACATTGGAATTAATCATTTCACTTTCGCTGAGATTTTACAAATATAATTTTATAAACGCTTATATTATCTATTTACGCAGAAATATACAATGCTTTATAGACGGGCACTTATATAACCAGTATTTGAAGTAAATAAACAATAAATATGAGGTAGTTTTTATCCGCTGCACTTGATGTACTGTCACTTTGAATTAAATACCTTTATTTCTTACGGATTTCTAAACATCACTCTGCATAGTGGTTAAGTAAAGAACAAACAAAATCTATTCGCAGCGCCTCATCTATCTATCTCATCTTGTGGATACAGAATACAAGGTTGATGTTAACCAGGCTTTCAGAGTCATTTACCACATGCCAACAAATCTTAATTTTGCCTCAAGAGTTCGTCTACCATACATATTACTGAGGCTGGCTGTTGGGATCCAGATTGAGAAGCGTAATTTGTGCAGACAAAAGAAGTTAGTTCAGACATTATCCTTACCTTGGCCATCTAAGTTTGAATAATCCTGAATTTTTGTGGAATTTTCCTAATTTTAGTCGATTTTCTTCTTGCTATTATATTTTTACTTTTATTATTATTATAATTTAAGCATATTCAATGCCCTGTGGTAATTCCATCTTGATCTTACTTAACGAATCGACAGTTTTCAAACGAAACACCAATATTGTTATTGACTACTAATCTAGAATATTCGATGTATATAAACATAAATGTATATATATAATTGTAGAGCCAGAAGTGGAATTTATCGAAAAGGGGATATTCTTTGCTCAATTATTTTGTGTTTCTCAAATATATCAAAATTTTTAGACATAATATTAGCTTATTTCATCGACCACTATTTTAGTTGTTATATATTTTAACCTACTGATTTTCGGATGAACTTAGTTGTGTCTAGTGCTTCCAGCTTCTGTGGCAGATAGCTGAATGATCTGTCTACGTTGGGGAGTAAAATAGAAGAAGATGTTATTACTTTCACCTAATCAAATCCTAAATGGGATATTTATCTGTATAAGATACGTCGAAATGAAGGATCATGAAGGATCTTATCAGGCGTTTTTCATGCAATATCAAGAATGAACTTTCTCAGTCTTTTAAAAGCTTCAGATGGTTTTAAGAAGACATATCAGTGGGACAGTATTAATATATGTGTAAAACTTGGGCACTGTGGTAGTAAGTAATTGCATATTAGTTTGTTTATTAAATGTATCACATAGTCAGTGAGACAGTATTATTTACTGGATGACAAAGTTTCGAACAAAATTTATTTATTGTTCATAATCATGCCATCAGTTATAATCACACGACTTCGAAACTTGAGTTTTGTAGTTTTCTTTGTTTTCTCCTATTTGTCGTCCTAGGGATGGTAGAATTTTCCAGATATCTGGGACAGGTATTGAATCCTTCCTATTACACATATTTGCAGTTGATTTGATAAACAAAGCTTCTGTTATCAATCTCTCCGTCTATTCACCCTGTGACATTTGATTTTTGAACGGCCATCTTATCCCATCCATCCTATTGCATGTAGTGGGTGCTATAGCTGAACTAACTATTCTCTAGATTTCTTATCTTATTCGGATCAACCAATTTAGATTTCGCTTCTGGGTTTTTATGTTCGGCTAGTCTGACTGCCCCTGTTCTACTAGTTTGACCTATGTATTTGACCTGACAATCATTCCAGCAGGGTATTAGATAAACTAAATTGTTTTGTTTCAAAGGCTCTACGGGATCCTTTAACCGACAAAACTTGTTTCTAATTGAGTTTGTGGTTGCTTTGAATGCCACTTTTGTTCCTGCCTTGTTAAGAATTCTGCGTACGGCTTCCGAGGTTCCTTCCTTGTATGGAATTACTGTTGATGATTTAGATTCCTTATTGTTGGTGTCGTCATTAATATTATTATTATCACTATTATTGTTATCATCACTATTATCATTATTTATTTTATTTTTACATTTTCTTACATATTTCCTGACTAATTTATCAGGGTAATTATTAAGTTTCAAGGCTTCTTTTATGTGTATCACTTCCTGTCTTAGATTTTCTTTGGTACTACTTAGTTTTTGTGCTCTTTCCCTTAAACATTTGAAGTATTTGAAGGGACAACATTAAAACGAGGATATGATCGGATAGCTTGTAGAAAACCTCTACAAACCGGTAGACCACAGGTTTAGATGTATACTGTCTACACATATTTATCAATATTGATTTTGTTATTGAAAACCAAGGGGCACTGAACATCTGGTTAGTCTTAGTTTACGACTGCACAAACCCTTACAAAGTCATATAATATAAACATCATTCTTCAGCTCATTGATGGCTGCCAGATAGATGTCCTGAAACTCTACTCAAGAGTCGTGATCAGTGATACCCCATCAGGTCAAGTTGAAGTCGATCCTCAGCAAAGACATTAGATGAGGCTAGAGTTATATCATGAATTGAAAAAAACTAACAATTAACGGATCACTGAATTCCAGCCTAAATAGCTGAATGGTCAGAAAGCTTCAATCCCTAGTAAAGTTGTGAGTAATCATTACTGAAGAGTCCCCGGCTGGGAAGAAACACCCACTCAGTGCACTTCTGCTTTCCAGTGACCTATCTAATTGATTTTAGTTTGTGACAAAGTCTACACTGGTATTATTATTGTTGAATAGAACCAAACAGATCTAACGAAGAATAATCGTTTTTTCGCTATCTTTGGAGCGTTTCATGACTGTGAGCGACTTAAGGAGTTTTCAATCATCTATACATTAGACCAAAGACATCAGTTTCCTGCCATCAGACTACAACGAGCCAGTTTTTATCGTAACAAATGGTTCTAGCCTCAGTGAGAACACTATCACTCACTGAAATACACATACATTTAGTTGACGAGTCCTGGATGGGACGAAATTCGCCTCCTTGATCCCACTGCACTAGTCACCACCAAACACAATAACTTCACCTCAAATCTTAGACATAATTGTGAAATATTGCCCTTTCATAACAATCAACTGGGGGTACAGCGGCTAGGATGCTCGCTGACCATGCATATGCTCCGGAGGTTCGACCCTTGGCCACTGGACGCCCTCCTTTACCTCGCCAAGCCAGTAATAATAAGGCTGGTAAAGAAGGAAGGTTAGCTAGGCATAAGGCTGGCTAGCAACCTTATCCTGTAAAAACAAACACCACCACTGCTACAGAAACTTGAAGACTTTCCCTGTCTAGCTTGAAGCCGCCCTACGTGTCCCACCACCACTGGGAACGAGAAGGAATACAAAAAAAAGAAAAGAAAAACCCATTTCCAAGAAAAACTGACATACATACATTGGTTCAATAGTATCAACGTCCCTTTTTCTTCATCATCATTATCAATTGGCTTGTTTATCAGCTGGTTGGAGGCATCAATTTCAGCTTTCAAACGATTACGTAATAGAATTGGCAGAGAATTCCATTCAGATTCATTGTTAACATTCACATTCGGTGGGGATTTCAAATTTAACAAGCGTAATAATTTTCTTTTATACTTTTCAATCATTAATTGACTTGCTTCACTGTTGATATGATTATCATTCGTATGGATATAGGCGGCACCATTGTCGTCAGCATTCTCATCAGGCATCCTATCCGATTTAAGCAATCCAACTTCACCTTGTTCCCCCCATTTATTTGCATTGTCATAGAGGGATTGCATGAAATGTTGATTATTTCTTGAAAGTCTTGATAGATACTTTTCTGACAGGAGGGAAGAAGCATCGACTGGATTGAAAAGTTTTGAAAATTTAAATTCATACTGAGTGGTTGTCGTTGACGTTGTTATCAGTAGTATAAGTAGAATTGACATAAAATTAAGCCTTATAGATAAGCTTTTGAAGAATTTTAATAATATTGTTAAAATGAGAGTGTTTATCCGACAGTGATAAAAGCATTTGATGAGAAAGAGGGCTGAATTCTTGAATAGTGCAATAGATAAGAAGTAGAAATACTCTCCTAGGCATAGGATTTTTCGATAGATTATACTGCATGAACTACAGAATTTCATCTTTGTGTTTTACTGTTGAAGTTGATGACACGGATAGTTGATTGATTATTTATGGGATGAATCGTTTATATAGGCATATTATGACCTAATCAATAGCAATAATTATTACCATTATTATTGAAATGATTATTAGCAGTGTATAACCGATCATATATAATATAAAAGGGGCTTACTCAACAATTAAGCCGAATATATCCGCATTTATAGGAATCCTTTAAACGAATAATTGTGTTCTTCGAGATGACTATGGTTACTCTTTTGTCGGCGTGGCAGAGAGAGAAAGAGGGAAAGCGTGCGTGTGTGCCGATGTGAGTTGTTGTCAAATTTTTTGTTTTTTAATTGATAATGTAAAGTTTCTTTGGTTTCAGTTCAGTTCACCTCTCTCTCTCTCTCATACTTACACACACACCCTTTCTTTTTACCCTAGTAACTCTCTCCACTCCCCCCAGCCGTCTCTTTCATTCTACCATGTAAAGTATTCATCCATCCATCCAGCTCAGAGAACAAAACCACATCAAAAGTATTCATCCACTAGCACATTCAACAATGGGTGTGCGTGTGTGTGTGTGACATGGGAGAGGAATCCCTGCAGGCGTATGGGGTGAGTGCATGTGTGTACGCGGGGGGTGGAGCGACTGTGTAAGTCAGGGAACCTTTTCACAAACAAAAGAAGGTTACAAATGTCAACAAATATTGTTGGTTGACGGTTAGTTACAAGAATCATTTTTGTTTCAAAAGAAAGTGTCTACAGATGGACAGACATGAAAAATATTTTCGTCTGGTAGAAAGAAAAGTTTTAGCATACCTCGAACCAATAGGATTTTTGACAGAAATGAAATCTGTTTTCTATTGTTACGCTGTTTTGCGATACATATGCAAACATATAGGCGTATATGTATGTGTGTGTGTCTGTGTGTGCAGTCTAGTCAATTTGAACAGTTCGGTGTCTCTGTTTGTCTGTCTGTCTGTCTATCTATTTTCAACACCGATGTGCAACAGCTCAAATCGCCACCCTCTCAGCATGCAGCACACAAAGCAAGAGAAGAAAGTCAAAAGAAATGCAAAATAATGACAGTAAACAGGGATATGAGACAAAAGAAATAGTAATAACGAAGAACAATATAGTTTTATTGGATATCATAAGTCACAAGGAGTGGATGCATCTGCGCTAGCCATTGACAACGAGGATATTGAGTCATATCACCGATCGTCTCCAGCCATTGGTTTTTTACCGTCCCAAGGACCCTAATCAGGGAGTCTACACCCCCCTACATGGCTGGTTCAAACTAAAAGTTGCGGATTTCATTGACTGATGAAGCCATATTTTGGTCTGACCGCTGCTAGCTCTTTTCCAGCCTGAACCTATATCAGCTAACATTGCCCTTCGAGGAAGGCAATGACTAGGCATCCGTAACATATGTGCTAACCATCTCAATCAATGTAGCTTCAGAACCCCGAAAAAATCTGCTCTGTCTATACGGTTTACATAGAACTTGAAAACCTTTGGACAACTCTTTTATAAAGAATGGATATCCTTGAAGGTTTACCGACAGAAATGTCAAGGAAGAAACTGTCCCCAGTCAAATTAAAATGCTAAAGAAGACACTGTTTATGAGTTTGGTGTTCACCAGAAAGAATAAGTTAACAAGAAACTGTGGGAAAAAACCAACCAAGAGCTGATCGCTCAACAGATATGCAGGAGAAAATGGAAATGGGTAGGGCATACATTGAGGAGACTGTCGAATAACATCATGCGCCAGATCTTCAAGTGGAATTCCAATGGGAAACGACGATTGGCTGGTCAGTGCGGGGTGGTTGGGAGGAGGAGATGAAAGATTGTGGGCAATCGTGAACGCAGACAGCTGAAGAGGATGGCAGAAGATAGGACAAAATAGAGATACGTTGTTGAAGCCGTATGTTCTACCCCAAACTCAAGGGTGCACAATAAATAAATAATATGTCCACGTATATATCTGCACGTATTCGTTCACATGCGCTCGTGTGGAGCTGATTACATTGGACATTGTGTTCTTCGTGTTCTCCCCGTTAACGCGTAGCGGTAGGGTAACTGGTTTAGTTAACGAAAGGTGAGCATAGAACGACGAAGTCTTGAATTTGTGAACACCTTCTGGAGTCAGATCATTCAGCCCCTCACACGTGATTAATCTTTTAAAGTTATCTCCACAGGACCAAAAATCCAACCATTCCAATTACGGATGGCAGAAGCTTTAGTTATAGATGGACAGACATCTAAATTATGTGTTCAAAAACGTTTATGTCGAACGCTTGTCTTTACCTTTGTCACAGTAATGTTCTTTCATTTCATTATGTTTTATCACTAGAATTCATTCCACTTCACTTCACCTTCGCTGTCATCATCGTACTCTTATTTTTCTAGACAACACTTGACGTACAATTAAAAAAATCTTTTTACCAGTTCACTTGTGTAATAATCTTTAAAAGTGTTGAAGGATGAATCAGATATTTTCGCTACACACTTATGTGTATTTATCAGTTCAACTGCGTCTGAGGCAACAGTTATGTTCGGCATACTACTAGACAGCTTAGCCAACGTGTCGCTTCTGAATATCTTCCATTGTGGTGGTTTGGCAAAGGACAGACAAAAATAATCCGTAGCTCAATTATGTCATAATTAATTGATAGTGGTCATGTGATGGAGAAAACGAAAGCATTCAAAGTAATTTGTCGTATCCCACCGAATCTTTCCAATAGACTTCATATTCGTCTACTGCACACAGCTGAGGCAATAGGGCATTTTACTATGCTTGTTCAAAAGAACTTCGTACACAGTCATTATCCCTCCCTTGTTGGCCTATTAAGACATAACCAACTGATGACTTCTACACCACCCCTTGTTTATATTTTCAACCCCTTTCTTATCTGAATCCCTTAATTTTATCACATCTTCATTATAAACGTGTTTCATTTCCTTCTCTTACAAACTAGCATTACTTAATCGGTTCGTTTGTTTTTACTAGCCGTCATGGACTACTATGTCTACCTGAACAATTGTTTGTTTAATTGTATGGAGGATTTAATCATGAGCTGACAACAGTTAGAGAACCACTGGAAAACCTGGGAGTACTGGACAGCTGTTTCGTTCTAGCCTGGGACTCTTCAGCAGTACGCACCCACCGGGATTCGAACCCAGGACCTTCTAGTTACAAGGCGAGCTTGTAGACCATTGAGCCACTGGGACCCGATCCAATGGTTCTTGAATCCTAAGTTCTGCCAATTCACGACATAGCGCGACCACTTCGAAATGTCTTCTTCGATGAGTTACTGCCTCATCTTCGACCTGCTGTACCCTACTGGTCACGGCTTCCCACTAGAACCCCAGGTTAACTGCCTGAATAGGGCCAGTCGCTAGTGAGCATCAGATTAATTTTCAAGTGTTGGTTTTGTAGTGATTTTGTTTGATTGTATGGAGGATTTAATCATGAGCTGACATCAGTTAGAGAACCACTGGAAAACCTGGGAGTACTGGGCAGCTGTTTCGTCCTAAACTGGGACTCTTCAGCAGTACTCACTCACCGGGATTCGAACCCAGTGGCTCAATGGTCTACGAGCTCGCCTTGTAACCAGAAGGTCCTGGGTTCGAATCCCGGTGGGTGCGTACTGATGAAGAGTCCCAGACTAGGACGAAACAGCTGTCCAGTACTCCCAGTTGGTTTTCCAGTGGTTCTCTAACTGATGTCAGCTCATGATTAAATCCTCCATACAATCAAACTAAATCCCTACAAAACCAACACTTGAAAATTGTTTGTTTAATCATGCTGTTTTTCATTATTCGTGTTATCACAGATTGCCTTACTTTTTCATCCCTATTATTGATGAGACCATTATTATTATTACTATTATTATTATTATTATTATCATTACTACTATTATGACTAATTGCACAATTTATATTCACCATCTTATTATCCTGTAGACAAAACACCATGATTGGTTTACATTTGAATTTCCATTTGTAAAGTTATGTAGGTATATATGAGAGTAATGTAGGTGTATTGGAGTTAAGTCTGATGAGATCTAATTGAAAGTACAATATTGTTCGCCAAAATAGGTTGTTCTAAACGTTTTGTAATTCATCCACTTCAACTCTACCCCCCTTAGTACATCATTTTAATTATTTTTATTCTTATCAAAAATGTATATTGACCAAGCAATTTCTGATAACACTTTATGCCTTTTTCCGTAATACAAGTATGACTTGAAAATGAAGTCGTTTAAAAAAAATACGTTTATTCGCTGAAAAAAAGCTATTTTTCCTAATGAACTGATGGGTATATTGGATTCCTGTATTCTAAGTAAAACCTAAACAATCGAATCCTCACCGAGCTTGGTCTTCGAACCTCCTTGTTTGTGATTCTACAGCAGTACACACTTATAGCAGCATTGAAAACATATTGAAAAAACAAAACTTCATATATTTGGTTCCCGTGATAAATTTCGATAGAGAAAGAAAGTATAAAATGATGTCATCATTCTATTTCACAGGTTCTAATCAGCTACACACTGCAACCTGAAATTACAATGGTTATATAGATGATAGTAACAAACATTAAATGTTTAAGTGGTAGTAGAGAAGAAATATTATAAAATTGACGCGTCCAAAATTTAAGCTTTACAATTTTTAGTTTAAGTTTTCATCATCAATTTATACGCTTTCAAAGTAGAAAAGAATGGTGAGGGGTAGGACAGATAATAGAAAAATTTAATTAAACACAACAGTGTAAGCTTGTAGGTTTACAAGGCAACTCCAAAACGAACAAAAGCGGTTACAATTTATGGAATTGAGATTTATTCAGTGAGCTGAGATCACTGAATTGGATGACTAATTAATGTAACGAAAATCAAAATTCAGTTACCATAGCAATGAGATATTAATCGAACACTCTCTTACAGTATGCATAAGTCTAGTTGGTTTGAATTGTTTGATTGCGATCGCTTTGGCGAACTGGCGTAAATTTACTGTCCTTTGTTTATTTAATATTTTGAAGGACTTAGAAATCTCTACGAGATGACCAGTATCAACAATATGTCCGGTAATTTCACTCTGAGAATATTTACTTCCTTTCAGGCACAAGTTTCTGGGAATATGTTTAGAAAACTGGATAGAAGCCCTTCTTTCCGTCCTTGCAATGTATTTGCTCCCAAAAGTGCACGTAAATTCATA